GGTCTCTCATATTTACAGGGAGGGCAATGCAGTTGCAGACTGTTTAGCTAAACAAGCATCAAGTGGAATATCTACTACTTACAATAGTTTTGTTTCACTTTCTAGTTTTGTAGAGGGGCTTTAGATTTTAGATCAATTGTCCTTTCTTTATTTACGAAATTAGCTTCTATGGCCTTGTACAAGGGTGAGACATAAACACTGCCCTCTTTTTTCCACATCTTAATAAAATCAGGGAAGGGTGAAACTAGGGAACTATATAGTATAAATGTCTATCCCTTGTGTAGACCCCTTGGGTGCATTGTACTGTATAGCACTGCTTATCTCAAAAATTTACCTCCTGGATAGACCCCTTGAGTTTTTTTGAGATAGATGGAACCTCAATGTCATCCTTACGTTCCTGTTGAGTTAAAAAAAATATAAATTATATCAAGTAAAATTAGTCACATTGACGATTTTACAAAAAAAAAAAAAAAAACTAAGGAATACACTTGTAAGAAAGGAATAAAATATAACCAGATATATATATATATATATATAAAAAAAAATATGAAAGAAGAATAAATAAAAAAAAAATCGGATTCCATAATAAACAAGAAAATAATGATTAAATAGTAACTTCAAAAGATTTATGATGGAAAGAAACATTATAAAGAGTTGGATACAAATGCTTGAAAAGAAAATAGAATAAAAAAAAGTGTCAAAATCCGTTAAAAATTTTATATTCGTAAATTTAAGATAAAAGTTTCTAGCTATTCTCTTATACTGGTGGTGGGCCCGTGTGTTGCCCGGATTTCAAAAAATTTTCGACATTATTGGCATGAAAAATTTTTCAACTGAAAAATGTTAAAGTGAAGAATGTTAGAATGTAATGAATAATAATATTTTGGGATTATAAATGTAATGATTAAAATATGTGATACAAGTTGCCAAATAAGTAATACAACACAAAAAAAAAATTGTTTAGTATTCAAACAACTTGAAATGGTAGGTGCACATTTTCTTTTTAAAGAATGAGAGTGATTTTACCTTTTCATCAATCAATACACTTTCAATTATGGATATTTCAAAGATTCTAACCAGCTCCTTAGTAATAGAGTTGCAGACGAAAAGCAATACAAAGCACATGCCCTTTTAGTTGAAAAAAAAAACAATGCTTTTACAAACTTCAAAACAAGATGCTATGTGTAATTGTTTGTCAATTGGAAGTAGGGCATTGGTCGTAATTTGGCAAAATCAATGTCTATCATGGTTCTTTGGGTTGTACTTTTGGAAAGAAATTCACGGGGATATCCTTCAGGTTTTAGCCCATCAAAGTTGTACAACACGACTTATAGCCAAAGAAGCACAGACATTCAATGTTAGATCAATGTAGAAATCTTTTATGCTTTTTTTGACATAGTTACCTATCTACACCAAAAAATAAAAACAAATTAAATTAAATTTGTGCAATGAACGGGCATAGAACTAGTATTAGCGTAATAACAATTAGAACAATGCTCACTCAGAGTCCAAAATATTACCGTAATCATCACTCTTTTTAATCAAAAGAAACGTTAGGATGACGTTCAAGTTCCAACTAACTTAAAAAAAAACTCAAGGGGTATACCCAAGAGGTAAATTTTGAGTTAGCTAGTGTCATATAGTACAACGCACACAAGAGGTATATCCAAGGGATGAAAGTGTATACTATATAGTTCCCTAGTTCCACCCCTCCCCATATTTTATTAAATACTAATAAGAGAACTTGGCAGTGCTTAAGACTTACCAGTATACAATGCAACTATTTATAACAACTTCGCACATATGGAAAAGAAACCTGGTTTAAGAGTACAAGTCCTTTAAGATATCTAGGTAAGATTCCCATACTACAATATATTTATTTGAGATTCCAAGTGATGCTTCACCTGCCAAGCCATCTGCTACAACATTTGTCTCTCTGAAAATATGTTGTACCGTATAAGAGCACCTTGTGATTATTTGATGGATTTCCATAAGCTGCGAATGGTATTACCAAGGTATTGTCTTCATCTCCACCAAGAGAAGAGATAACGTCTTGTCATCCGTCTGAATTGGCACATTCATCAAGCCAAGTTGATCACACTTTCGTACTCCAAATAGCAGCCCATAACTTCAGCTCCAAAACTATCCCCCCTCCTAAGTAACCACTTTCACCACACAAGAAACCACCTTCTTTTTTCCTAATGGAAAAACCATAGCCGGACTCTGAGCTCCCAAAGGAGCCATCAGTGTTTAAAACATAGGAACATTGATCAAGCGCAACTCAATGAACTGAGGTGCATCTCCTTTTTTGGACTTGTCGCAAATACACAACAAACAGTCGCGCCAGGAGGTCCCATTCTGCCTCATTTCGTGCCTTCAATTCATGAACAGTAAAGAGATTCCGCAAGAAGTCCATAATTGCATAAATCACTTTTTGCAAATTAAAACACTCACCTTAAAAAATCATCTTGTTCCTATTTTCCAAATTTCCCAAAGAATAAATGATGGAGCCACTTTAATCAAGGCTTGTAAGGCAGTTTCATAGGATCCTCTTCTCCACCATTCTTCCAATACCATAAGTAAAATAGCATTTTCCATCCAAGGAACAGAAAAGAGATTTGAAAAGTGCTTCCAAACTTTCTTCACTTCTGGACATCCTAAAAAACAATAAATAATTGCATCCTCATGCATTTTACAAAACAAACACATATATGGTTGCACCTGAATTCCAAATTTGCTTAAAATTTTTGGAAAGGGGACAAGAAGGTTGCGCAACTTCCACACAAAAACAAAAGAGACCCTCAAAGGGATCTACTTGCACCAATAATTCTTTGATAAGCGTTCCTCCGCATTCCTCATTCGCAGCTGTTTTGATAGAAAAAATACCAGACGCGGAGGGTTGCCACACAAGTAAGTCGCATTCTTAGGTGAGGGTTTCATCCGTGCACAATAAGCTCCGCGAGGCTTCAGGTTTTAAGAATCCCTGCAATTCATGTAAAAATAAATTTTTATTAGTCAAAAACTCCTTAATACTAAGGCTTTGAAAAGGCGGCTGATCATTTGATTCGTCCCATACAACTCCTTCCAGGATCCAGTTATCAAATCAAAATGATCTATCTCCCCCACGAACCAACACCTTTGATAGATTTGTTGCTTCATCATCAACTTTCTCGATCCTGGTCCAAGAAGACTTTCCCTTTGCTGAATCCGAGAGCGACTCAATGAATTTACTCCATCCACCATTTTGCTGTTTATGTTTCCACCAAAGCTTGCATGAAAAAGATTTGAGGACATCTTGAAACCCGAGCAACCCTAACCCATTTTGTGAGATCGGAAATGCCAATCTATCCCAAGCACGCCAATGCCTTCGTTTTTCATCACCTACTCCTTGCCATAGAAACCTTTGACACTTCCTTTCCATTTCTTTTAAAATCGACATTGGAGGTGAGATTGCCGAGAAGACATGAATGGTTATTGCTACTAGTACATGCCTCAAGAGAACAAGTCGACCACCCGGACTAAGCAACTTGTTCTTCCAGCTTCCTATTTTAGAATCCAAGAGAAATTTGAAAGATGATGCCTTATTCCTACCATGAAAGAGATTACAACCTAAGTACATGAAAGGGAAAGGCCCCTTAGGCATTTCCAGAATTCGTTTGATTGCCTGAACCCTAGATGCTCGACATGATTTAGCAACCAAAAAAAAACTTTTGTTTGGATTCATTCTTTGGCCAGAAGCAATCTCATAATCTTCAAAAATTTATTCAGCTATTTCAACGATCTCATTGCACCCTTTGTAAAAATTATCAAATCATCCGCAAAACTCAAGTGTGAAACCTTCATAGAACCCGCCGGAGTTCCATAACCCGCTATCTTTCCGTTTGCCACAAGAGCTTTAAGTCTTCTAGATAATGTCTCCGCAACCAAAATAAACAAGTATGGTGAGAGTGGGTCACCTTGTTTAATGCCCGAAATGGTTGGAAGAAACCTGTTGGAGAGCCATTTATCATGACAGAAAACCAGCTATTACGAAGATTATTCATAATCAAAAGGATAAAATGAAGGGGGAAACCAAGTTGTTGAAGAACCTTTTCCAAAGAACTCCAAGATGCTCTATCAAAAGTCTTCATCATGTCAATCTTCAAAACCACATTAATCCCCACTGCCTTGTGATTTATAAATTGACAGAGATCTTGCGCCAAAACAACATTATCAATAATATCCCTTCCAGACAAAAAAGCTGAATACTCCTCAGAGATCATTTTTGGTAACACCACTTTCAATCTCTCGGTGAGAATCTTTGTAAAGACCTTGTTGAGGAAATTACACAAACTAATTGGCCGGAAATCAGAGAAAGTAGTAACCGAGGTCTTCTTAGGGATTAAGGTAATGACCGTACTAGCAACAGCTCTCAGCAATGAGCAACCCCCCATAAATTCTTGGCAAGCTGCAAACAAGTCATCCGCTATGATCTCCCAACAAGACCTATAAAAACAGCCCCCAAACCCATCCATTCCTGCCGCGCTATCTTCATCTTGGTTGAAAGTCGCATTCTTCACCTCCTCCAATGTGATTGGCTTCATCAACATTTTCTTGTCTTCCAGATTCAGCACATCATCAATTTCTTGTAAAAAAGCCATTTGTTTTTCATGCTGTCTACAGTGGGCCGGCTCCTCAGTCAATAGATTTTGAAAGAAATCCACTGCTTCTTTCTCAACATCCTCCAACTTCGTCAAGACCCTTCCATCCTCCGTTTGTATTTTTTGCAGCCCAAATTTCATTCGCCTTTCAGCAAATGCAGCATGAAAAAATGTTGTATTTCCATCCCCCTCTTTCAACCACTTTAAGCGCATTTTTTGCTTCCAAAAATCATCATGCTCTTTTAATATCTTCAACAATTCAGCATTAGCCGCATTTAAGAGGTGCCTGTTAGAAGCATTCCCCGAATGATCATAAACTAACTCCAAACCTTTCACTTTCTCCTCCGTCAACTTCAAGTTCTAAACGACATCACCAAATTGTGTTTTATTCCATTCCTTAAGGACCAATTTCAGCCGCCTAAGCTTCATAGAAAAAGCCAACATTCCAAAACTTCCAACCGGCTGTGACCAGCTTGCTTGGACCATCTCCTTAAAATTAGACCTTCTAAGCCACATTTTCTGGAGTCTAAACAATCTTGGTTTGCTCTCCGTTTGAACATCAAATTGCAGCAACAGATGGTTGTGATCAGACGTTGTCCGGCTCAGGTGCTCCACAGAAACCTTTGGAAACACATCAGTCCATTCCGGGGAGAAGAGAATCCAATCCAACTTCTTGCTTACCCATCCTGTATTCCTTGTTCCGCCCCAAGTGAAGTCATCACCAATAGGAGAAACCTCCATTAGGTTAGTCACTTCTACACACTGATTAAACTCATCAATAGCTGCAAAATCTAGCACGAATTCCCAGAGTATTTGTCCAAGGACTGGATGACATTGAAATCACCTCCTACTATCCAAGGTTGGGCCGGATTCAAGCCGCCAAAATTCTCCAAATTCTCCCACAAAGGACGTCTATCCACTTTATTCGACCGCTGTTAAGAGAAATCGTTTTTGAAGAGGAACAAAAACAACCTCAAAGTGCATCATTTTGCTCTCCAACTTCAATCCGGTTTATAATGTACTCCTTATTACAAAAAAACAAAACCTTACTAGTACTGGAAGAGAAACCAAAATCAAAATTCAGCTCCCTCCTTGTTTCTTCTATTTTATCCAGAGTCAATTGGTTCAAAGATGACCAACATTGAAACTCTATACATCCGAATCAAAGCCGTCAACTGCCGTTGAGAAGCTTGCTTCCTTATTCCTCTTATATTCCAAAAAATAACACTAATCATTGATTAAAAAAAATTGGATTATTGCAGGCGAAGGGATCACGGAAGCTCCATACCTTCTATCATATTAGCTTTCTCCTCCTTTGACTTCCGACCGCACTTTTTTTTAACAGAAAGTGCGACTTGGTCATTGACAATTACTTCATCAGCATCTTTTTCCCCTCCTGACCAAACTCCATCAGTAATATGATCCTCCTCTTCACGATTAACTTGCGTTGGCACAAAAGAATCATCCGGAAAATATTGCTTGTCAGGAGCTACAGTTTTCAGATTATCATCACTACGACTAATGGTCAACTGATTATTCTCTCTTTCCTCAGTAAAGACATTCTCAACTCCATCATCATCTTCTGCCAAGACTCGTTCATTTTCAACATCATCATCATCGTCAATCTCCTGTAGAACCGCAAACATATTATTTTGTGGTACTAAAGCAGGTTCCTCCAACTTGCGAGGAGACGAAGCTTCAATTTCTGGGATCTCTGCAACAAGGGGAGGCGTAGGACTCCCTGTAATATCCACAGGAATGTAATTCTTCTCCTTCATAGTCAGACCTGAAGAAGAACCTTCTGGAATCATTGATGGACGCGAGATCAAGAGCGTCACAGAACTAGGGCTTCCGGGGGGGTGCGATTAGAGTTTCCGTAGAAGGCATGACTATAGCTTCCGCAGGCTGCGCCTCCACTGATTTTGCTTCCACAGCTTTGACAATCAACGGATTTGCTTTTCCACTTCTAAATCCGGCTTCTCTTGAGGACTTTAGATCCCAAAATCAACTTCGAAGCCGCGTTTTAATTCCTTTCTTTTTTGCATCTTGAATCGTATCCTTTTCAGTCGCTGGATTTTGCGGCAATGGCTTCCCACGCTGCATTCACTCTCTTTATGTGCAATCTTGCTGCATTTGGGGCAGTATGAGGGAACGTGTTCGTAGGTGAAAACTTGTTAATGATTACGCCCTTTCTTCCCAATCTTTACAGATTTTGGCAATTCTTTCAACAAATCCACTTCAACGCAAAACCGGGCAACCGACGGTCTTGTCATGTTCAAGGTGGGCATGTCTACCTTCAATGGCTGCCCTATAGCTGTTGCCATTGAGTAGATGAACTCTGGATGCATGTACTCAACTGGGAGATCAAAAAGGGATACCCATATTGGAACCAGGGGCGGATCTTCCTCATTACGAAACCCCAGCTTCCATTTCAAAATTTGGATTGAGTAACCCGCAATGTTCCAAAAAGTACGAATCTAACATCTTTGATACTCTTCTTCTTCGTTAAAACGATTCAAGACATGTCTCGGATTCATGAGTCCCAAAGCATAGCCCCCATTAAACCCTATCTTCTTAAATTCTTTATGAATTCCCTCCATTTTAGGGCGGTCATACAAAAATTTCCAACAAGGCTCAAACGATGCGGCGCAATGAGTTTCTCAAATTCATCATCCTCGTACTCCAAGGTTGGGGTTCCGTTTATAAATTTTATTGGTTTGATGAGGGAGTTTTTGTTTGTCTCGGATTCAGAGGCTTATGGAAGAAGCTTGCGAAAGATTTTGGTGGGTTGGACGCGGCCACTGGCGGCTAATCGCCAGCCATTGCGGCCAAGGGGAAGGCGTTAACCCGTTGCTTCTAGGGTTGGGGTAGAGAGAACAAAGGCAAAATTGGAAAGCGGGCAGAGTATACCGTAATCATCACTCAATTAAAAATACTCCGTCAATATATAAATCTACAAATTTGGATTCCTAAACGGTGGCAGTATCACTAGCGTTGCCTTAAAACTTTAGTTTTCGCAATAATCATTACAGTTAATGGCAAAATAAAGTCTATATTTCTACTCCCATCAACTCATACCCATCCTTCTTCACAAACCTTGAAATCCAATTTCAGTGAACCATTGAATTTCACCCTGAAATCCCGATACCTCTTCGGCGACAGCATTTCTGATTCATCAATGCTGTCGGCAAATGGCAAAGCTGAGAATGAGAATCTCTTGGCACAAATCCTAGTTCATTTGCCGGCAGAATTCCTCATTCATTTCCAAGTTGTCTCAAAGCACTAGCTTTTACTCTTAGCACTGAAAACATAATCACTTGAAATCATATGGATTATATAAGAAAAAAATGAATTCTTAATAATGAAACAAGTGTGAATCATTTTCGTTTTAAATGGCACTATCTACTGCACAAACCAAAAAAAAAAAAGGAAAAAAAAATTAATCTTAGAAACTTAATAAATAGTAAAATCAGTATATTAATTTAAAATTGACAGTAAATATAAATTATATCAAGTAAAATTAGTCACATTGACAATTTTCAAAAAAAAAAAACTTAGGAATACACTTGTAAATAAGGAAGAAAACATAATCACATTTATATATATATATATATATCTGTCTGTATATAGAAGGGAATCCCCTTTTTGTTGCATGGTTAAAGGGGGGTTCCCGGTGAGAAATGCTGACGTGGCTACTCCCTGTTGGACCGCTTCTTTTTTCAACTTGTGGCTGCTTTTGTACAGTCGACTCCTTCTTCCGGTTGCCAGCCCTCTTTCTTCTCTTCTTTCTTTGTTCTTGCCTCCATTAGAGCCTTAGAGGAATAGAGTTTGCCGCCACTGTTGTTTTTCCTTTTTGATTATTGGATTTCCTTCTGGGTTTGTCATCAGCTATCCACATCCAAAAGGTTAGCGCGTTTTTAATTTTTGAAATCACCAGATCTACTTTGCTCACCGCATGTATTCTGCTTTGTTTATGTGTTTGTGAATTTGTGTGGTTTTTTCTCCGTCCACCGATAGAAGAACAGAGGGAACATAGGGTTGGGGTTTTTGGGGAAACAAATTCAAGGGTTTAAAATGAGTTGATTTGAATGCTTAATTTCATTCCTTTTTAATTGATGCATATAAGGTAGTATCGAGAGGTTTTCATAGAGTAAAGAAATGGGGTATATAATTGATTTGGGCTCGATTAAGGTTGTTAATCCCTTTTTTTTCTTTGTGAATCCCTATTTAACGCTAGAATAAGATGATAAAAAACCAAAAAATTTTGACCTAATGGAATAAGCAGGCCGCTGGTCATATTTGTTTATTCAAATTTTTGGAGCTCAACTGTATGTAGTTTTCTGGAAAACGGTAATTGGAGCTGCAAGTTTAATTGATTTCATGAGTTGGAAGTATTTGCTTCTTTAGAAGTCCATTTTACCTTCTAGGGCATGCATGCTAAGTGTTTGATTTCTGGTGTTAAAGAACAATTATGCACCATTTTTTTTATTACTAGGTGAACAAATTTTCTACTGCTTGTGATTTTCGTTTTAGCGTTCATGGAAGAATTAGGAACATAGCTGCCATATGGACTAAAGGGATTTCAATGTTCGCCTTTTAATAGTTAATTAAGAGGTCAGAAAAATTAGCTCTAAAACAACACAAAAAAAAGGGTAAATGGGAAAGCTTCGAAAGGGGAGGAAAACAGAGAACTTAAGGCTGTTCAAGTTGGGATTTAGTTCAGAGAACGTATGTAGCTCAAGGTTTCGAATTCAGTTAGGTAACCTGCTAATCTCCTCCTATAAATCTGGTTGAAACTTGTTAGATTAAATTGTTTACTATAGAACTATTAGGAGTAGCTCTTCCTTGTTTCTTAGCTTCATTAATGCAATTAGAAATGCTAGATTACTTAGATGGAACCGAGAGCAAGTAATTTGATGGTGTTGTTAGTCTAAAAGCTCCCGGTGATTTAAAATCTCTGTTTCCTTTCTTTAATGTTTGTGGAAGCTTATTGTGTAAATGTTACACATAAAACATGGTCATGGTTTTGAAAACCAAATTGAAACTATCGATCAATTTATAGGAATTGGGATTATATAGATTTAGTTTGCTTTTCTGTTTTTTTATTTGTTTTAAGGCTTATTGCATGAAGGCTTTTTTAGCAGCACTTAGGAACACATAAAGGTTTAGGAACTCATCATTTAGTTTGGTTTTTTAGCTGTAACACTGTATTCAGATAAGTTTAAATGACTTTATTTCTACATTGGATTCATACTTCTTCTTTCTTCTAACCATTAATCTTGATCATGCATATCTGAGTCTTATATCTAGCACCAAAAAATGATGAACATATGTATAGATTTTTTGTCGGAGACGTTGATAGTCTTTACAGAGTCATGCCTCTTCTTTTATGGATGATGGTCGAGACCTTTGCAGAAATAAGAAGTCCCGGAAAGGGAATATTGAAAATCTGAGCTTATGAATCCAGTTCCTTATGCAGTGTGCAGAGTGCATAACATGTGCTTAGTCACTAATTTTAAACACAAATTTTAACTTTGGAATCTTCTGTTTGTCGAATCTCTGGTTGGAAGTTGGGCGCTTCTTAAGCTGATATAATCTTGCAGGTCTTGCTTTGTACTTATCATCTGTAGCTTTTAAGATTCCTTGAACTTTGCTTTTAGAATTTTAGATAAGAAATTGTGTTATCAAGAAAGATCAAATGCCTAGATTAGTAGCTGCATGTTGGAAGTTCAACTGTAATAGTCTCACTATGCATGTGCACTTTCATCAGTCACTTTGCTAATTTATATGCATGTATGCTTTCTACGATACGTGCAAGGAAGGTGTTATAAATTTGGTGAAATGCTACGCGATGAGCTTTTGCAGCGTGTTAATCCATGCAGCGTATTAATTTGTTTGATGGATCATCTCTTTTCACTTTCATTTTTTTTTTGGCATAATTCCCTTGGTAACCATTTGTTCTAATGGCATGCAAGAAAGATAAAAGGAAAAGAAGCAACAACAACTAAAAGTGGCTTCCGGGTTTGCTCCAAAGCGACTTGATCATCTCAGAGACTAACCGAACAATGAGATACTAACTTCTGAATGAGGGTTGAAAATTTGGAACTTTCTCAATGATGAAGCCATATCGTCACAGATATGAAGAAAATGCTGCTCAACGTGTATTTTGTTCTTATTAGAATACATATATACTTTTGAACTTAGTTTTATTTTAATCTAATCCTCACATGTATTCTTCTTTCAAATTAATATAAGTTTGTCATGAGTAGTTTACATACACTCCATATTTTTTGAATTTTAAGTCAATTCTAAAATCACCTTCATGCATAATACATCACTACATCACCAGCAGGAATATAATTGGAAAAAAAGAAACATCACCTTATTGGAAATGGGTTTAAGCTTTGGATTACACACACTTGGTGATGGAAAGAGCAACAAAAGTAACAAAATAGGTGTAGTTCAATAAATTTCACAGTACTATACAAAACTGGGAAAATTTCCCCAAACACCGCATCTCGTGCGGTGCATACAAGCTAGTATGTATATATACAAAAAAAATCTAAACGAAGAATATATATAAAAAAAAATCAAATTCCATAATAAACAAGAAAATAATGATTAAATAGTAACTTCAAAAGATTTATGATGGAAAGAAACGTTATGAAGAGTTGGAGACCAATGCCTAAAAAGAAAATAGAATAAAAACACAAGTGTCAAAACCAATTAAATATTATATATTCATAAATTTAAGATAAAATTTTCTAGCCATTCTCTTAGACTGGTGGTGGGCCCGTGCGTTGCCCGGATT